GGCTACGGGAACCCTAGTCTCATAGATCCTCCATTACGGCAGTTCAGGAGGAGGTCGGATCATAATCGTTTCATCTTCATTCTCCATCGCTCGGATCTCATCCGAAGCCCTTGACACCGTAGCATCCGCCAGCAAAACTTCGTTCTCATCGTGCCTCTCCATTCTCCCATACGCCTTAGCCATCGATCCAACTTCCTTTTGTTCAAGGTTGTCCTCCATCTCCACCTTTTGTCTTCTCGCTTTGTTTTGTCGATTTTCACACGACTCTCAACCGTCCGAATTTGCCGTGCGACCCGTCCAACCACTCTCCGATTTGTCTAATTGTCTTGCTTGCCGAACAAATGGAATCGCCGACCCAAAACAACCTTCCCAAGCCTAGAGAAACCTAGGTGCGAGCCATCCTCTCTAAAATGTTACCTTTTAATTAATTAATCTTGTTAATCATCAAATCAGGTATCCAAGTGAATATTAGGGTAAAAATAAAAAATGAAAAATGAGAATAACGTAGCTCACAAGATATAAGAGCAACTTTAAAATCTATTTTTTTTAGAAAAGTGTGAAATGTATCCCGTACTATGTCCTGAAAAAAGTTAGTTCAACCCATCTATTTACTTTCATTAATTAAATAAGTGATAAATTGTTGAGAAGTTATTTAACACGTATCTATTCATGAATTAATGTAACTTTTCGATGGTATTAATATATATGGTTGAGATTATATATAGTCACATAACATGGTAATAGTAACTTCGAATCATACTCAAGATGTTTTCATTTGGGTTGATTTCAGTTTCAAAATAATCACATATACATTATAACCACCAAATTAAACCAGGTCAGTTCTAAATAAATTAGACAAGACTTAATACGGAGTACATAACATAGTAAAATATACATAATACTATATATACAAGGGTATACTTGAAGAATTAAGTCGAGCTAGACTTTAAAAATCAAAATCACACCAACAAAGTAGGTTTAAATAGATCAGGCCAAGATGTACCTATTCACTCCAAGTAAAGACATCATAATCAATAACGAAAAATTAATAACTTATATATTACTAGGTAAATATAATCTAAGTCTGTTAATTGACCGTCATCGGTTTTTAAAGTAAATAGTAATAACTCTTAGGTAATGTCACTCATTTCATTTGGTGTTGTCATAACACATTACAAACTATTCTAATAAATGTTATCAGTGTTTCCATAATGATTTAATTTCAAAGTTTTCAATTCAAATATCTTTATATATATAATTAAAGAATGTTAAAAACATAACATATTATATTTTATGGGAAATTTGTTCAAATTTGACATATTAATCATTAAAAACATTAGTGGTAAGTAAGAGACATAAATAGTATGCGCAAAAAGGCTATGACAAAATTATTAATGTGTCATTTTTAGGTAGATGAAGTAATAGTTGTCAAAAAATGTAAATGAAATCTTAACAATACCTTAAAACTGGAGGTGTAATATGTATTGTAACAATATATGTAGTGGAAATATAAATATTTAAGTATGAAATTAAAATTATATTTGTAAAAATTATATGTTACGCCGCTCTTTGATTTATTTATGTACATATTTTATCATGTAACATTTGTATACGTACGTAGTGTTAGTGTTAGACTAGGAAAGATCCTTTCTTTATTTCCTTTCCTTTTTCCACGCATGGTAAGTACGTAGATGTAGCGGTGATTCATGTATTTAAGTTGGCCGAGACTTCTTTGATCGATAAACAAGAAATACAAAAAATACTTCTATTATCTTTTCCATTTTTACATGGTATCAGAGCAGTGAATCGGGGACTGCCGATCACGCTCACCAGAAGACGTCATGGCTGGAGAAACCGGACACACCGGCGGAGACGGCAATCGCGAACATCTTGAACGAAGGAAGATCAATGACCCTTCGTCGCCATACTTCCTCTCCAGTTCAGATCACCCCGGGATGGTGATATGCGCCGTTGCTCTTAGAGGAGAGAACAACTACCGGGAATGGGCAACGGCCATGAAAAACGCGTTCCGTGCTAAACGGAAGATGGGATTTCTTGATGGTTCGATTGTTCGACCCCAAAATTCACCAAGAGATCTTGAAGATTGGTTGACCGTCAATTCGATGATGGTAGGATGGATTATGACCTCTGTGGATCCGAATTTGCGAACCAACTTGGCATATCCGGTGTAGTTTATAACTTTATACTACGTATAAATTAGTTGAGACTTGAGAGACAAACTTTGCCATTTTCTATCTTTTACGAAGTCCTTATTTGACTAGCTAATTATGTTTGTGTAGAACATATACAATAATAGTTTAGAAAGCACACCAAAAATAGAAAATATTTAGAGAAAATTGTCCAACATAGGGCTAAAACTCAATCTTTTTCTCAAAATAGGACCACATGCATGTTTTTCTCTAAATAGGACTAACTTTACCTTTTTTACCCCTAATTCTATTTAATTAATTAATTGATCTAAATAATTGCCCCCCAAGTTTCCTTGCACAACCAAGGCAGTCCGTCGGTGGCGGGGCAGTCCGTGGTGGCGGCAGCACTCCGGCGGATTCTGGCGGCGGCGGCAACTCCGGCAATTAATTAACCCAATCATTTGCCCCCTAGTTCTCTTGCACTACCAAGTCAGTCCGTTGGTAGCAGGGCAGTCCGGAGGTGGCGGCAGCGGAAGAGGCGGTTTCCGGCGGCAGGTGGCGGCAGAATGTTGGCAAACCTCCAGAAAAAAAATCTAGAATTTTTCCGGCGGCGGCGGCATGCGGCGGCCGGCGGCATGCGGCGGCGGCATGCGGCGGCCGGCGGAGCCAGGCGGCAGGCGGGAGTCCGGCAGTCCCTGGGCAGCAGTGGTAAAGGTTGTGAGGGGTATTTTGGTCCAATCACTAATAAAAAGTTCTATTTAAGAATGTTTAAACTAGGTACTCCTATTTTGAGAAAAAAGCCATGTTTTGATCCTATTAAGTTAAATCTTCCAAATATTTAGCATATGTCTAATGATCATTGTATCTTTTATCTTTCTTTATATATTAATACTTATTTTGTGATAATGTAAATATGACAATAATCAAATTATTCCACTCATCATTGGATTACTCTAAATATGAAAATCAAACATTTTCTATTATGTTAACATGAGGGGCAAGATGCAAACTTTCCAAAATTAATGTAGCGAAAGATTGATTTTTCATTCTGTGTAAAATTTGATTTCATATCAGTATTGTACAAAATATGGGAGCAACTTTAAAATCAATTGTATTTTGAGAAAAATGTCAAATATATCCCCGTACTATGTACGAGAAAAAGTCAATCCAGCCTCTCTATTTTTTCAAATATATCCTCATATTACGCCAAAATAAACTTTTATCCAGTAGATTGCAGGTTTCCAGTTATCGCTGATGTGAGGGGTTCACTTTTCGTACATAGTACCAAGACATATATATTTGACACTTTTCTCAATTTTACTTTAAAAACTCATGACTAAATATTTTACTATGTTAAGATTAACACACATTTCAATGTTAAGTTTTAAGTTAGTGAAAAATAATTGTATTTCTACTGTTTATGCATAAATTTAGCTACGTAGCCTTAATTTGAAATTTATATACAATTATCATTCACTTATTATGAATTATTAATTCCCAACACAGTTTTGATATGAATTATTTACTTATAATTGAATTCGTTTTTATACATATTCTCTCGAGCAATGCATGATTCGACTCAATGGCGGAGTCAGAAAAACGGTTCAGGAGGGTCGAAAATCAGCTATATACAAAATGAAAATAGTGGATCATTTTTAGACAATGTCCGAATTGAATGTTTCATATGTAGTTTAGATAAATAGGCATTCGTAATGCATCTTATTTTGCGGATTTTACGTTTAGATAGTGCTGACCCTAACCTTGCTCCACTCCCGGGTCGACTAATCTTTTATTTATGGAGTGTTTGCGATTGCTTGTGCTTTTCAAAAGTGATTTTTTTAAGAGATTTTAGTAAAGGTGATTTGTATTAAAAGTAGGTAGTGTTTGAGAATAGAAGTGATTGTGAATAAAGTGTAAAAGTTGAAGTGTTTGATAGAAAAGTGATTTTTGATGTAATAAATTATCAAAATACACAAATATCCTTATAGGACAAATTGAGAAATTGAGGAGGAAAAGGTGGAGAGCCACTCGACCAGCTCCCGTGGCTCTTTTTTCTATCCAAATAATTCAACATATACAAACATTTATATACATAGAGACATATATACGTATATATGTAAATATATAGATATATAATATTAAGATGGACTTCCTTCAAAAAAAGATGAAAAACGGAAGATTTCTTGCAAAACAAATAACAACTAATTAGTCGGGAAGCTAAGTGACGGACTTCTTCAAAAAAAACAAAAAAAAACTATGTGACGAACCAGAGAGATCAAGGTGCAATGAGGAAGAGATCAAGGTGCAATGAGGAAGAGAGCAAGATCGAGGTAGAAGCACATGTCAGGGTAAGTGATAAGGGTATTGTGGACTTTGGTGATTATATCTATCATAATAATCATCTCCAAAGTTGGAATAATTTACAAGAAAACCAAGAAGCAGTTAGAAACCACCTTATCCCAGCTTCCAGCTTTTGGATAAAAAGTGCTTAATTTAAGTAGAAGCAGACATTAACAAACATCAATTTCAGTTTTTTTTAAGCCAAAAGCTGAAAAGTATTTTTTTTTAATCCGTTGCAAACACTCTTTTAAACTAGTTGTGACAAACTTTGCCATTGTCTAGCTGTTACAAAATCGGTGTTTGACTAATTATGTTTCCTAACAAGGAGTCACATTTAACCAAATCAATTCATAAATAAATGAGTTTTTACTTTCCTTTTGTCCATATGTATTTGAATGAACATTCATGATGCGTAAATACAGAGTACTGCTCGTTTACAATTACCAAAAACATATAATCGCATTTAAGTAAATGATGGAGCAGTACATCTCACAGTATATATACACAATACAATACAATGCAATGTATTGACAAATTTTCTCTGGAGCTTTCCTTTCTCTCCCTCTCTGCTTTTTCTTTCCCTCATTTCCATTTCTATAGGTAAGAGGGGAAATGGGATGGATTGACCAGAAACTTTGATGATTCTTGGACAAATCTGGGTTTATTTTAAAAAATGGGGGTTTCTGGTGTTCGGTCATTAATAGCTGTAATCCTGCTCTTTTACGGCTGTTTACTGCCGTTCGATTGCATCGGGATTCGGGATTTTGCTGGCAGAAAGGGCGGAGAATCCGGCGGATTTGGGTTTTCCGAGGCGCCGGAGTACCGAAACGGCGCCGAGTGTCCGGCGGCGAGCCGGCCGGCTTGCGAGACTGAAATGGTGTCGTCCTGCGATCCGTCGCTGGTTCACATAGCGATGACCCTCGACTCCGAGTACCTCCGTGGGTCGGTGGCGGCGGTCCACTCCGTCCTCCGCCACGCCTCCTGCCCGGAGCATGTGTTCTTCCACTTCATCGCCGCCGAGTTTGACCCGGTAACCCCGCGGGTCCTCACCCAGCAGGTCCGATCCGTATTCCCCTCTCTCAGCTTCAAAGTTTACATATTCCGAGAAGACCGGGTCATTAACCTCATTTCCTCGTCGATCCGGCGGGCGCTCGAGAATCCGTTGAACTACGCCCGGAACTATCTCGGCGATATGCTTGACCCGTGTGTGAACCGGGTCATCTACTTGGACTCCGACGTCATCCTCGTCGACGACATCCACAAGCTTTGGAAGGTCCCTCTCACACAGTCACGGGTCATCGGAGCTCCGGAATACTGCCACGCGAATTTCACCAAATACTTCACCGACACTTTCTGGTCCGACCCGGTGCTTCCGCGGGTATTCGGGTCGGTTAGCCCGTGTTATTTCAATACAGGGGTGATGGTAATGGATCTCCAGAGATGGAGGGCCGGGAATTACAGGAGGAAGCTGGAGAGGTGGATGGGCCTTCAGAGGAAGAAGAGGATTTACGAGTTGGGCTCTTTGCCGCCATTCTTGTTGGTTTTTGGTGGGCTTCTCGAGCCCATTGACCATCGGTGGAACCAACATGGGCTTGGCGGAGACAACACATTGGGCTCGTGTAGGGACCTACATCCAGGCCCAGTGAGTCTGTTGCATTGGAGTGGGAAAGGCAAGCCGTGGGTCAGGCTTGATGATAAGAAGCCTTGTCCGTTGGATCATCTCTGGGAACCGTATGATCTTTACAAGCCCATTCAGAAAAGCGATGGAATATTTCATCAAGAAGAATTTAGTAGAAATTATTTCATTTGAAATTTATGTTTTCTTTCTGGTAGGGTTAGTGATTCTTTTTGTAAGGCTTGTATAGGTTTAATTGTTCGGAGGAGATAAATTTAGGTGGTTAGTTGTATTCTTTGGTTGATAAAATTGTTTATTTATTCATATATACGGAGTATGCTCTTCTATAAAAATTATATATGACCCTCCAAATATTCTGCATTTTTTTGGGGAAAATGGCGCACTACCCAAATGGGTAGAGAGAGATTCAGAGAAAAGGTTGATGAAATAAATAAGTCAATGATAAAGTTTTGTTAAAATGGAAAAGAAAGATCACATGGAAACGATAAAAAGGGAAAAGAAGATTAACACATTGTATTTCCTTTTTTAGTGATTGATTTTTATTGTTCCTTTTATTTCCTCTTTCGGTTTAACACATGTATTTGGTACCATAAGAATATGTATTTGCACCGTTCCAATGGTTGATGTTCTTTGGCACACACGCACACATTATACAAAATTTTGAAACACTACATTCGATATGACAAAAATGAAAAAAAACTTGACCATACACTTTACAAGCCAAAAAACTACTCAGCAATGTTTTACAGGGTTTAATACCAGTTTCTCTGTTTGAGTTATACTATAGGAGAATCTATCTGGCAGGGAGAGGAGAACCGGGATGAACTAGATGAAGTGGAGAACATGAAAGACTTGGGTGAGGTTGGTGATGAAGGCGGGTGAAGACACTATTTCTGTTGGTTTTCTCTGACCATGAAACCGGTCATCCCCAAACATGCATCTCTTCAATCGCTTAACGTCTGACAATCTCACTGGCTTTAATAGAAAATCTTCAGCACCTTCTTCCAAGCAGCCGTAAACAAGAAGACTAATAAACACTACCTTAAAAGGAAAGCAATTATAGATTCCCACAAAAGCTGAAATCTTTATTTCTGAAATTAAGAAATACGGAGAGCAAATTAACAATGTCAATAACAAATGTGAAAAGAAGATCTAAAGTAAGAACGCGAAGTGAACATGGCAACATGCTATTAAAGCTTGAGGTAAATAGGCGAGATTCCGAGTACAGTGAGAAAAAGGTAAAGAACTTGAGAATAGATTGAGAGAACAGAGCAGCAGAGATGAGAGCTTGGAGAACAAGAGAGGCAAATTCGGGACTCCAGAGCTGCTAACCGCTGAGGATGAACCGATTTCCAATCCCACAACAATTGAATTCGATTATTTGAAAATTGAAATAGATATTGATCGTATGGGAATTGCGAATATGTTGATTAGCGAGAAACTGTTAGAAACGAGGAGTCGACCGCTCCACGTCTATTTTTTGCGAATAACTCCTAGACTGGTTGCCCACTTGCCGATTAGTATACTCATTTTATTTATTTCTTTATATTATTATTACTATTAATATTTATAATACTAATATTGAAAAATTGAGGCCCCGGATATGGTGAGCCCTGTTGCAGAGAACATGTTGAACATGTTAAAAACCGGTTCTGCTTATCAGATTTTGGTAAAAGTAGTAGCTCATCAGAATCCCCCGTCTCCTCCGGCTTGCGCCGTCTTGAGAACACCAGATTCCCAGCCGGCCCTCTCTAGCTCAACAAATAAGAAAAGACAGATAGAGAAGAGAACCCCTGGTTGAATAAAAATATAACAAATGAAGAACCAAATCACAAAAAAAATCTCCAGAACCGACACATGTTCTACATCATTTTTCATTTTCTGTCTCTCCATGGATATGGTTGTCTCTAGTGATGGACTCAACCGGTTCCGGGCCCAGGTCGGGCCGAGGCCCGGTCGGGCCCAAAAAAAATTCCGTGAGGCCCGGGACCGGCCCGGAAGTAGACCGGTGCCAGTCCGGGTTGGGTCGGGTCCGGTTATAATTTTTTTTGTTTTCTTGATTATTTTTATCCCCTACCCTGCCACCTCCCATCCCACAAACCCATCTGAAAGACCCATTCCAGCCCATTTAAACCCAGCCCAAAGCCCCAAACCAACAAAAAACAAAAAAACAAAATGAAAGGCCCGGAACCGGGCCTGGAACCGGCCGAGACGGTTCTCATTTACCTAAGCCCGTACCCGACCCGATTACCCACCCCAACCGGGCCGGGCCCGCACAGTACTGGGCCGAGCCGGTTCCCGGGCCGGGTGGCCCGAACCGGGTGTCAAGCCTAGTTGTCTCCTGTTGTCCTCTATATGTAATCAACCCGTCTGAATTCTAAAATTTTGAAAACCGATCCAAACTCAACTGAATTACCCGTTTCGTTTCACAAAATGATTCGGTTCCTATGGTAATTGATCGGTTCGGTTTCAGTTCGGTTATAGTTCATGTATAGAAATTGAAGTTCTTATACATTTGCATGAATGATCATCACTTGATGTGCTTTTGAGTGGAATTTTTTAATAAAACTTTGTGAACTTGTTTTTCATTAAGTATAATCGGAAAGAACATTGTTTTTTTAAAACAATTATTGAATTCAATTGGAAAATCAATTAAATAAATTATTGAAAACAACTATGCCAAAATATATAAAAACACAATTCCCAATAATCTATTTTTAACTCACTTCCCAGTAATTTGCTGGTCTGGTCTGGTCTGGCCTAATCTGGTCTGGTCTGGTCTGGTTTCTTTGTATTTTTATAACTATCCAAGTCTGGTTTGGTCTGGTCTGGACTGGTCTGGTCTGGTCTGGGACAAATTACAGTCCAAGTAAAAACATCCATAATCTACATTTCATGTAAGACGCCCTTACAATTGTCAACGTACACCTTTGATCGTCAATATATCTTATTCTCTATTAGTAAAAAAAAGTTAAAAAATAGATTTTGAAATTTTGTAATGAGACAAATTGAAAAATACTCCGGGTATTTTAAAAACTAAAATTCTCGTAAATTAATAAATAAAATGTAGGTAATTTAAAACATGTGAGTAGTGTAAAATTAGATATGTTGCGATTAAAAAATGGAGGATTGTATATAATATGCATAATACTACCTTAATATTTGATCAAATTTCTCTTCCCGTCTGTTCCAAACAACTCTATTGGGTCAAATGCATAAATGGTACCTTAACTATTGGTAATGTTGCATTTTGGTACCTTAACTCTTAAATGAATCAAAACGATACCTTAACTATACATAAATGTTTCAAATTGAGATTTCTTCAAAATTTTAACAAAAAAGTCCTTCGTGACGATCAAAATTTCATGTGCAGAGTCACCCTATAGTGATCATATGGACAAAAATAAGGTAAAGTAGACTTTACGCATAAAATTCTGACTGCCACGTGGAATTTTTTGGTCGGAAATTTGAAGAAAATCTCAATTTGAAACATTTATGTATAGTTAAGGTACCGTTTTGATTCATTTAAGAGTTAAGGTACCAAATATGCAACATTACCAATAGTTGAGGTACCATTTATGCATTTAACCCCAACTCTATTATTTTCATTTAAATTAACAAATACTACCTTCGTCCCATTTATATTGGTACAGAAGAGGGTGACACAGTTTAAGAAAAGTGGGTTTGTGTGATTGATATTAATTGATAAAGTAAGAATAAAGTAAGAATGATTTAGAACCACACAAACTTTGCCAAATATGGTATGAGACAATTTAAGTGGGACTTCCCAAAAAAGTAAAACAGGACAATATAAATGGGACGGAGGGAGTATGTAACTAAAGTTCCCTTTCTTTTCCAAAAAAAAACACTAAAGTTCCCTTTCCTCTCACAAATTTTCAACCATACCGTTTAAGTTCATTATTTTACATTTTTACATGCAAGTCAAATTTGACAAAATTTTATGACACGGGAGAATATTTATAATCAATCATCATTTGCCCCAGTGCCGCAAAGGCTCCCGCCTACGGTGGGGTAGGGGGGCGGATGTACGCAGTCTTACCCCTGTACTAAAGCACAGAGAAACTGTTTCTCGATGACCCATAGTGAAAATTGCGACCAAAATTGCATGGACTGATCGCTGCTTCATAACAAAGAAGCGCGGGCAGTTAGGTGAACTATTTTGCTTTATTCCATCATATTCTCAAACTATAAAATATAATGAATCTTTGGCTCCATTGCAAATGATGGAAATCATTTGCAATTTTTAAAGTAATAATTACTTTAATTATTACTTTAAAGTACTCCCTCCGTCCCGATTTGATGATCCCATTTCTTTTGGGCTCAAAGATTAAGAAAGTGGTTGAAAAGGTAAAAGATGTGGTTGAGATTTGAGTATAAAAAGGTGAAATGTTGTGGACCACATATTTCTTTCCAAAAAGGAAAATGAGATTATCAATTTGGGACGGCCTAGAAAGAAATACGGGATCATCACATTGGAACGGAGGGAGTAAGGATATTTTTACTTGGACTGTAATTTGTCCCAGACCAGACCAGACCAGACCAGACCAGACCAGTTCAGACCAGACCAGATCAGACTTGGATAGTTATAAAAATACAAAGAAACCAGACCTTACCAGACCAGACAAGTTCAGACCAGACAAGTTCAGACCAGACCAGACCAGACCAGCAAATTACAGTCAAAGTAAAAACATCCTAATTATTCGGAGTATTCAAACATGCTCTAGTAGCAACAGTAAACATGTCATTCATCTTCCATTCGCTGTTTCGCCCATTGTTCATCAGATATCCATTACGGCAATAACACTCAATCTACTTCACCAACGTCAACCCAGACCTTACACCGATTCAATCCCTAAAAACAACGATTGAATTTGAGTGGGGTTTTCAGTGGTTAGCTGATGTGTTCTTCTCTGAAGCTAAAATGGTTGGCTGTGCTGATATGGGTTTTAGGGTTGGCAATTGGGGATGCTTTTAAGGTGCCGTTTAGAGTGAGTGATGTTCTTCCGGTATTACCCCATCGGATTTCATGGCCGGTCCTTACCAATTTCCACAGTGCTGTGGATTTGATGCCCACCTTTGTCGGGTCGCTTTCTCCAAACAACGGGTCTATTCGGTGGAAAGGCTCCTGTTTTTTCGAGAATGAAGCCAGGGTTGACTTCACTGACTCAGGTGACCGTGGCATCGGTGGCGCCACAGTCTATCTTTCGGTGAGTGTCTTTGAATTCATCTACATTTAGTTATCTGCATGCTTCATAGAATCCGTTTTCGGCAGGCGGTCAGGCGGAAAATCAGAATAGAATCATTTAGTGCGACAGACCTACAGTTAAGTGTTGAAATA